GGCGAGCTCGCTATCGCTTGAGCCACATCCCCAGCCCTATTCTCAATTATTAAGAGAGGAAAGATTGCTATGAAGAAAACTATAAAACATTGATGAAAGAAATTGAGGAGGACATGAAAAGCAGAAATATAACCTGTGTCATGGATTAGAATAATCAATATCATTATTTTAAAATTTTGGGGCAGAGTCTCACATAAATTGCCCAGGCTGGCCTTGAAGTTGCAATCATCCTATATCAGCCTACAAAATAGCTAGGATTATGGGCTTATCACCATGTCCAGCTTTCAATATTGTTAAAGTATCTATACTACCCAAAGTAATCTACAGATTCAATTTAATCCCTATCAAAATACCAATAACTTTCTTCATAGAAGTAGAAAAAACAATCCTAAAATTTGTATGGAATGACAATCACAAAACAAAAAAATGTCAAAGAATTTTTCTTTTTTTTTTTTTGTACCAGGGATTGAACTCATGGGCACTCAACCACTGAGACACATCCCCAGCCCTATCTCACTGCGTTACTTAGCACCTTGCTGTGGCTGAGGCTGGCTTTGAACTTAGGCTCCTCTTGTTTCGGCCTCCTGAGCTGCTGGGATTAAAGGCGTGCACCACCATGCCCAGTTTAGGTCAATGCAATCTTGATGAAAAAGAACCAAGCAGGAAGCATTCCACTATCTGATTTCAAAATATACCACAAAGGTGAAGTAATTAAGACAGCGCAGTTTTGGCATGGAAAGACACATAAACCATTGGAACAAAGCAGAGCTAGAAGTAAATTCACATGTCAACAGCCAACAGTTTTTTGTTTTTTCTTTTGTATTAGGGATTTAACCTGAGGCCATTCACAACAGAGCTACATCCCCAGCCCTCCCCCCCTTTTTTTTTTAAGTTTAAGACAGGATCTCACTCAGTTACTTAGGGCTCTACTGAGTTGTTGAGGCTGGCTTTGAACTTGTGATCCTCTTGTCTCAGTCTCCTGAGCTGCAACTGATTTTTGACAAAGGTGCTAAGAACATGCCGTGGAGAAAGGAAAGTCTTCTCAATAAATGGTGTTGGGAAAATTGGATATCTACATGCAGAAGAGTAAGACTAGACCCTTTTTTCTTACCAGTTATAAAAATCCAATCAACTCAAAATGGATTAAAGATTTAAATGTGATCCTTGAAACTATGAAACTGCTAGTAGGAAACATAATAGAAACATTTCTGAACATTGGAATAGACAAGGACTTTTAAACAAAACCCCCAAATCACAGGAAACAAAAGCAAAAATAGATAATGGAGATGAGATTACATCAAACTAAAAAGCTTCTGCTCAGCAAAGGAAACAATCAACAAAGTGAACAGACAATGGGAGAAAATATTTGCAAACTATACATCTGACAAGAGGTTGATATACATAATGAAGAAGGCATTCCAAAAACTAAATAGCAAAAATTTTTAAAAAATCTGATTTATAAATGGGCAATAGACCTAAATAGACATTTCTCAAAAGAAGACATACTAATGGCCAACAAGTATATGGAAAAAAATGTTCAACACTACTAATCATCTGGGAAATGCAAATCAAAAGTACGATGAGGAATGAGGTATCTATCACCTCACTGCAGTAACAATGGTCCTATCATAAGCACTAGAAGCAGCTAGCCAGGTTCAGTGGTACACAACTGTAATCCTAACAAATCAGGACTCAAAGGCAGGAGGACTGCAAGTTCAAGGCCATCCAAAGCAACTTAGTAAGACCCTGTCTCAAAGTAAAAGACAAAAAGGACTGAGGATGTAGCTCGGTGATAAAGCACTCTTTGGTTCAATCACCAGTACTCATTCCCAGGGAAAATGTTTAGCACATAGATGAATAAATAGTCTTGAGTTTCCATGGGCCTCATATTTCATATGGAATAGCACATTATATTTTATTTTTTGCAGTATTGGTAATTGAACCCATTATATGCAAATACTCTACCAATGAGCAACACTCCCAATTTTTTATTTTTATTTATTTTTTTATTTTGAGACAGTGTCTCACTGAATTACTGAGGCTGGCCTCAAATTTGAGGCTGAGGGTTAGGATTGTGGCTCAGTGGTAGAACGTTTGCTTAGCATGTGTGAGCACTTGGTTTTTATCCTCAGCACCATGTTAAAAGAAAAAAAAAAACTAAACAAAATAAAGTTATTGTGTCTATCTACAATTGAAAATATTTTTAAAAATTTAAGGCTGGCCTCAAATTTGCTATCCTACTGCCTCAGCCTCTCAAGTAGCTAGGATTAGAACTGTGTCCCTCCATTCCCTACCGGTGGACACTGAATTATAAAAGGGATAGGGGTACACTAGAAAATCTTCAGTGGAAAAAAACTAAAGTAATAGAAATACCATATCCTCTGAGAAATTATTAAAGAATCATCAATAAGTCCTTGATAGTCATGTTTAAATTACTGAAAATCTTGAGACTTGAAATTTAGGGTAATGAATTGAAATTTTATTCTTTCAGACACAGGGGAACCATTGAAGGTTTTTGAGCAGATAAAACACTTTGAGAGGAGGGGCCAAAATTGTTGTGTATCGCACTAACTGTAACGTAAGCCCTAGGAGTCTGTTCTGTTCATGGTATAGCTTCAGTGTGTAGGGAAAGGCTGGCACTCTGTGGATATTTAATTCACACGCATGAGTGAATTAATATTCATATCAGTACTTGGCATGTTGTGTGTGTACGATTGATTCATGCTTGTTGAAAGAAGGAAAATAAATTATCAAAGCCGTACTTTAGGAAGATAACTGACAAGAGTGCGTAAAAGGTACTGGAAATATAAAATAGCACAACAGGGGAAAACAACAGGGAGGCATTGTAGCAGTGTCAAGAGGAAACAAAGGTTAGGGGACCAGATAACAGAAAGGAGGCATGGATACGGACACCAGGTTGTGAAAAGATTTGCAACCACTTAGGACTTAAATGGACATATAGTGGGAAGACAGAAGTGCTAAAGAAATACTGGGACTTGAATTTGGAAAACTGAAAGAAAAATTTTGACATTCACAGAATTATTTATTTTAAGGATAGCAGATATTTTAATATACCACAGTGAATTCTGTTTTGGGGGAATAGGTTAATTTAAAGGTACTGACAAAACATGCTCAGAAAGGCAGAAATGCAGGACTGAAATTTAGGAGGAAAAACAAGATCTTTGGAATTGAGAGTCACCCAACTACAGGATAATTGAAATCATAGTAGATAAGAAGATCAAAGGAAAATTAGCAACAATAAAATATCTGCATTTACGGTGGAGGAAAGAGGTCAAAAAGCCACAGATGGAGTAGTTACAAGTAGGAGAGACTGGAGCTTGTAGGGTTAAGGAATTGAAACCATAAGAGAATTTGAAGGAGAGGGTTTGCTGATAGCGATAATGCTCCAGGGAGATTGAAAAYGTTCAATATCTGGAAATTGGAAAGCATCAAGTCACCTTTGGTTCTCTTTCTCTTTATCTAATTAAATCTGAATTTCTGAACCTTGAATCAAAGGTCCTGTACTGATTCAGACTTTTCACTCATAGCTGCCAAATTCCAACAGGCTACTTTTGCTCCAATTAGGATMAGAATTTTCCTCCCTCTCCCTCCAAAAGTAAAATGCATTTTTACTGGGGCTGTGGCAGGTGGGAAGAGAATAAAAAAAGATAATGTTGTTTTGTCCTAAATATACCATGTATAATCTTGGCTCTTTTCATATGCATGGATCCAGGTTTTATGGAACCTAAGTTTATAAATCTCTCTTTAAGAAAAACAGTACAAGATTTTGAATACAAAATTTGGTAAACAATTTTTGTATTTTTTATTATTGTTTTATTATTATTATTATTATTATTATTATTATTATTATTTTGGGATAGGGGATTGAACCAAGGAGAGCTTTACCACTGAGCTACTTCCCTACTCCTTTTTTTAAAAAAATATTTTATGTTTTTTTTTTCTTTATTGTAGTTGGACATAATACCTTTATTTCTTTTATGTGTTGCTGAGGATAGAACCCAAGGCCTCATACATTCTAGGTGAGTGATCTACTGCTAGTACTTTTTTATTTTTTATTTTGAGACAGGGTCTTGCTAAATTGCTGAGGCTAGCCTTGACCTGTGATCCCCCTGCCTCAAGCTCCTGAGTAGAGAGTACAGGCATGTACTAACCAATTTTTTTGAATGGAAAAAGTTACAACAAATTATTGGAGGCTTGGATATTCAGTTTCTTTTCTTTGAGATTTCTTAGGCTAAAATAGCTTTTTTGTTTGTTTGTTTTTGGACACATATGCTATCAAAAAAGGTAGATTCAAAATTTGCTTTTCAAAGTAAGACTTGTCCTAGAAATGTTTGTAAAAGTGACTTTAAAGTTCTTGTATTCTTTGAGACAAGTAGCAGCATTGCTCAGGACTAGTGTGGGAGGAAAAGAAAGTGGGGCATGACTATTGGTTTATGTTAAATCTGGTCCTGCTCAAGTAAAAAACAGAAAAGAGCATTTGTGAATCTTTAACAAAGTCACTTTCTCTTTGACTTACAAAAGGATCAAAGAGATCACCTCTTCCTTTCCATGTGTTCTTTTCCCTAATCTCTTCATTCTTTCCACCAAATAGTACCAAATCATTTTTTTTTAAAAACCCCAAGCTAAAAAGACCCAGCATTTCTCTCCTGGCCCCAAGTTTAGCCTAAAGGGAGAAGTTGATGAAGAAACACAATAATGAATCTTACTATAATTCCTAAAATCAAAGACAGTCTTTGACTAATAGGACTAATCAGGGTGTTTCCCCAACTTACCTTGAAAAGAGACCCTAGCCAAGACCATCCCTCTCAGATGCAAGTTTCACTTTTCCAAAAAAGCTATGACAAAACAAAGCTCTTTACTCCTCCCAGTCATTTCCCTCATGTTGCCCCAGCTCAGAGGAAGATGCCATTAAACTCGGGATTGTTGGGATTTTTCCCAGGTGGAAACAACACCAGGAAGGCATACGGGTCGTCATTTACCTTTTGAGAGAGAGCTGTCCTAGGCTGGATTTGGCTGTTGCCAGGGCAGTCTCCTCCTACTCAAGCACATCTCTTGGCAGCTTTTCCTCTCTTTATCAACCCCCTGGTGCAAAAGAGGTTGGTGGCTCTCTCCCACGCTGAACTCAGAAGCTTCATGAATAGTTTAAAACAGGATCAACTTTCAGGCACTCCCATCGTGGGTGAGAAAATGATCCCACTAGATTAAATTGGAGCCTAGATGGGTGGAGGAATATTTCCACAACTCTGCCAGGGCCAGGACAGCCACAGTTAATAACTCAGGTAGTACCTTCTAGGCATGATCACACGGGTGGTAGAGGATGGATCAGCAGCCAGCTTTCGGCCTATGCAATGGGTCTCTGGATTAATAGCTCACCTCAGAACTTGCTAGAAATGCAAATTCTTGGATTCCAATCTCAGCCTGAATGAATAAGAAATCTTAGGGGTGTTGGTGTCTGGGTTTTAACCAATTCCTCTATGTGATGTGATATATGCTCAAATTTGAAAACTACTTGTCAACAGGATCAGTAAAGCTTTAAAATCTTTGCCACCTTTCATCAAAARTATTTACTGGGGACATTTGGATCAGAAAAGTCAAAATGATTTCACTTAGCTTAGTCATTGTACATGTTCATAAATATTTCTAATGCAAAATTTACCACTGTTTTCTAAAGTTTTTTTATTCTTTTTTTAGGTGTAACTGGACATATAACTTTATTTATTTATTTTATGTGGTACTGAGGATCAAACCCAGTGCCTCTCCTGTTCTARGCAAGTGCTCTACCACTGAGCCACAATCTTAGCCCTCTAAAGGGTTTTATTTATTTTCTACTTTTGGGTTCCAGGGATTGAACCCAGGAGTGTTTAACCACTGAGCCACATCCCCAGCTCTTTTATTTTTTATTTTGAGACAGGATCTTGCTAAGTTGCTTAGGGCCTTACTGAGTTGCTGAGACTGGTCTCAAATTTGAGATTCTCCTGCTTCAGCCTCCAGAGTCACTGGGATTAGAGGTGTGCACATTGCACATGGCTGTTATAATTATTATTATATTTTTAGTTGTAGTTGGACACACTACCTTTGTTTTATTTATTTATTTTAAATATTTATTTTTTAGTTGTARTTGAACACAATGCCTTTATTTTATTTATTTTTATGTGGTGCTGAGGATTGAACCCAGTGCCTCGCACATGCTAGGCGAGTGCTCTACTACTGAACCACAACCCCAGTGCCTTGTGGAAATGTTTTTGTGGGATAAATTTTTCAAAACATTGGGGCTGGGGATGTGGCTCAAGCGGTAGCGTTCGCCTGGCATGCGTGCGGCCCGGGTTCGATCCTCAGCACCACATACAAAGATGTTGTGTCTGCCGAAAACTAAAAAAAAAAAAAAAAAAAATTAAAATTCTCTCTCTCTTAAAATTTTTTTTTCAAAATATTAAAACTATAAATGGTAGGTTATAGGACCTGCATATTTAGAATTTTAATAGGTACTTCCAAATAAATACTAAAAAGGTATATCACAATTTACACTCCCATAAATAGGCATGCAAATATCTTTTTTTGTAGTTTCATTATTGGAGGTCACTATTAATCTCTGAAATATTCATTTACCTAATAGGCTAAAAATAATATCTGCTTTTTAAAAACTGTATTTCTCTAATTATAATAATATTGAGTCTCTATTGTTTGTACATTTTTTTTGCATGTTGTTTCACCTATCCTTTCCCCATTTGATAGGGTTTATTAATATATAATATATAATATATATAAAAAATATATAATATATATATATATATTATATATATATATATATTTTTTTTTTGTGTGGTGTTGGGGATTGAACCCAGGGCCCTATGCATGCAAGCCAAGCACTCTACCAACTGAGCTATGCCCCAGCCCAAGCCCACTCTCTTGATTTTGAACCAGTTTTCTATCAATGTCAGCATCCAGAATTAAACCTCTCTTCTCAGCTCATTAATTTCTGTCTTCACTGGTTTCCCAGGCCACTTTCATCCCCTTTCAAAGACTTTTAAACTGTGCTGCTCCTGTGGCTCTAGAACCTTCCATCCCTAAGATACTGATCTCATTTGTCTATTTGTCTCCAATTCTGGGAAAATGGCTGTGTTTGCTCTCTTTCACAGTTCTCAGAACTGACAGAGAAAGGAATAACAATGCTCCACAGTTTCATGAACGTGTATGCCTTTTAACTTTGGAAGCATTTGATGATCTTGGCCTTTTATTCATACCTAGCCGATTTCCCACGTTGAATTTCCTCAACTCTAGAGCTGCACCCAACTCCATTTCTACATTATTCTCACCAGAAGTTTCACCAACTCTTTGAGAACCAAAGTCATCACAGATGAGTTAAACTTTCTTTTCCTCCACTTCAAAATGTCTATATTTAAATAGTAAAAAAATTGCCTTGGTTTTCTGAGGGTAAACGTAGTCATAATCTTATCTCCTCCGTCTCCCTTGTGTTCTCAGACATATACATCATGCCCGGCAGACGCATACATATTCTTGCCTATTTATTATAATTATTATTTTTGTATTGGGGATTGAACCCACAGGTGCTTTAGCACCAAGCTACATCCCCAGCCCTTTATAAAATTTTTTTATTTTGAGCCAGTCGTGGTCCCGCATGCCTTTAATCCTAGCAGCTGGGGAGGGCGAGGCAGGAGGATTGGGAGTTCAAAGCCAGCCTGAACAATTTAGTGAGGCATTTAGCAACTCTGTGAGACCCTGTCTCTAAATAAAATACAAAAAAAGGGCTTTGGATGTGGCTCAGTGATTCAGCACATCCCTGGGCTCAATACTCAGTACAAATTTTGAGACAGGATCTCACTAACTTGCTTAGGGCCTTGCTAAATTGTTGAGGCTGACCTTGAATTTGAAATCCTCCTGCCTCAGGCTTCCAAACTTCTGGGATTACAGGTGTGTACCACTATATCCAGTATCTTGCATTTTTAATTTGTCCCTTTCTACAAGCTCAGTCTATAGACATAGTATACTGTTTCTACCTCACCCTATCTCTACCCCCAGATACCATTTAATTACTTGCTATTCATTGTCATGCCTCTTGCAAAACTGATCTATTATAATCAGCAGCCTCTACTTATTTACCCAATAGCATCTGATTTCCAGTTCTTAGATTTACTTATCTATCCTGATTTTCCTTAGTTTCTCTGAATATATGATGTTGCTGCCCAAACTATTTTATCTTGAAATTCCTTTGACTTCTATTGTCTGATTCTTGCTAGGTTATCTCTTACCTTCTTCCATAATCTAAACTAGGCTTTTTTTTTTTTTTAGGTATTCTTTTCCTCATTGCCATTTTTTTTTTTAAATCTCCTTTTTCATTGTTTTCTTATTTATTTATTTGTGATGTTAAGGATTGAACCCAGGGTCTCAATGCATGCCCAGACAAGCATGAGTAACTGAGTAACATCCCCAGCCCTTTTTCTTTCTTTTTAAAAATCCTTTTTCTTATCTCTTTTAACTTTGGTTCTGACATTCTTTGCAGTGATAAGTCTCTTACAATTGATGCACATGTTTTGGTTGAAAGGTGGGATCTAGTGGATTTCCTGATTCTGTTTTTTTCTCCCCCAAATAGCTTAAATTGGTGTTCCTTAAAATTTTATCCTCCAAAAGTAGAGTTTTCAGATTAAAATATAAAAATTCTTTAGTGCAAATTGTCCTATGCAACATTCAAAACATACTAAACAGTGGTACATATACACAATATTACTCAGGCATAAGAAAATGAAATTATGACATTTGCTGGTAAATTGATAGAACTGGAGACTATTATGCTAAGTGAAATAAGCTAATCCCCCCAAACCAAAAGCCAAGTATTCTCTCTGATATGTGAATGCTGACTCACTACAGGTGGGAGGGGGGAAGTTCTCTGGAATGGACAAGAGGGAGTGGGGAGAAGGGAAGGGAGATGGGAATGGGAAAGACAGTGGAATGAATCGGACATTCCTTTCCTATGTTCATATGTGAGTACACAACCAGTGTACCTCCACATCATGTACAACCATAAGAAGGAAAGTTATACTCCATGTGTGTTTGAGATGCCAAAATACATTCTACTGTCATGTATAACTAAAAAGAACAAACAAACAAACAAAAGAAAGGCAACACCTTTTCTCAGTTAGCCTCTCTGAGCAACACTGGAAGGAAGAGGTATAGGTAAATTAAAAGAAGTTGTAACAAATGAAAAACAAAAAAAACTAAATAATTATTTGTTGTTAATCCTAAAATCAAATTGATCTGTCCTGTGAGATTTATTGGCTAAACCTGGCAATTCTATCCAGGGATATGTAGTAAAACTTGGGCACATCTGCATATTACAGTTCTAAATAAATAAAAAATGGGTTTGCCATGGGCATGTAACTCAGTAATAGAGTGCTTGTCTCACATGTGTGAGATCCTTGGTTCAATCCTATGTGGGGGGAGGGGGAGAAGGAAAGACTATGGTTTACCACAATAAAGATAATAGAATTTATATAATTTTAAAATTTTAGTAGTAATATTAACTTTATTTATTTATTTATTTATTTATTTTTATGTGGTACTGAGGATCGAACCCAGGGCTTCCATGTGCAAGGCAAGCGCTCTACTGCTGAGCCATAACCCCAGCCCAATATTAACTTTTTAAACTGAAAACATGTGATGGGTGGTACATGCCAGTAATCCCAGCAACTCTGAAGGATAAAGCAGGAGGATCGCAAATTTGAGGCCATTCTCAGGAATGGGGATGTAGCTCACTGGTAAAATGTCCCTGGGTTCAATCTCCCAATATAAATAAATAAATAAATAAATAAATAAATAAATAATCATGTGTTATGAAATAATAAACTTTGTGGTCAAGGTATCTGCATCATAATTATAGTGTGTTCTTACAAAATCCTGAATTTCTTTTTTTTCAGTGGTAGGAGGTGAATCCAGTTCTTAGTGCATGCTAGGCAAGCACTCTTTCATCTGATACTTTGTTCATAACATTAATACTTTGTTCATAACATAATCATGGCTTTGTGATTCACCATCTTCAGTGGAACTGCCATTAACATGCAGATTTTCAAAAAACTCTTATGTGGA